ATAAAGGCTCACTAAATATTATTGGTTTCTTTTCTTTTGACAGTGTTGTCGATTCCAATGTTTTATGCTTAGAAAGGCTTTCATTTTTTTTAGGCTCACTAAATATTATTGGTTTCTTTTCTTTTGATAGTGTTGTCGATTCCAATGTTTTATGCTTTAGAAAGGCTTTCATTTTTTTTTTCCCCATAAGCCTTATAAAGATTCTCATTATAATGTATCAAAGATAATCTTAGGATTATAAATAATATGAAGGCTAATATGGAAGGATTGGTGATGATGAAACAAAAATTATATTCTAAAATTAGATGTAAGGGGTGTTCAATTCATGCACCTTTGTTCATGGTTAAGGATTGATTTAATTGATTGGACTTGCATCAAGTGTGATGCCATCCCACTTTGAGTAAATATTTAATACATGAATAGAAGTGGTTTTGATATAAGCTTGATGTATGTAAGAGTTATTGCTTTGTGGAGTAGAGTTGTTTGCTTGGAGGGGTAAGAAGAAAAAATATAGGAGAAAGAATTCATTTGTGAATGATATGTTTTTTTTTGCCATACACAATAAAGTATAAATTCTTGTCATTAAAAATGATCTCAAGTGACACACACACTTTTCTCATGGGGGTATAATAGAATTTGCTTGGGATTTAAGTTTGTATATACAAAATGTCACATGTATTATTCATTTTTCATAGAAATATGATGAGAATGCTTTAAAAAATCCTTAACATTGTTATGTTTTATTTGTTTACTTTTATCATTGACTTAATTTTTTATCATATTGGAAAGGGCTAGGGACAATGATATGCTCATAATATTCTTTATTTTTTGACATACTGGCAATGATCATTAATAAAAGACAAGTCATTGAGACCCAGATATATTGAGTGTATAAGATTGAACCAAAATGTGACTGCGAACGAGAAAAAAAGACTTTGGGATTTTGTGTTAATTATAAAAAACTAGTGCATTTGTGCATTGCTAACTCATAAGTCTCAAATTCTTCAATATTAAGTGTTTTGAAAAAAACTAGTGCATTTGTGCATTGCTAACTCATAAGCCTCAAATTCTTCAATATTAAGTGTTTTTAATGTTATAAAATAATAATAATAATAATAAAAGGATGGCCAAATAATAATAATAATAATAATAATAATAAAAGGATGGCCAAGACATATGTTGAAACCATGCCATCTTTTATTGTAATTAAAAGTTTAAGAAATGAATACTAATACAATAGGTACTTTGGCGCTTCTTCAATTCTTCATTTCCTTAAAGCGATAGAGTTTGTCTCTTTCTTTTGTAAGTCTAATCATCATCTTCGTCCCTTTTCTTGAAATACATAACATGAAGGAAGAAATACAATGCTTTGTTGAAAATATATTGCTAACTCTTAGATGGATAATGTGATGACTAATATAGGCACATGAGGGTATTTTAAAATATGGAGAGTTTGTGTATAATATTATTTTATTAGTCAACAATGATTGCTAATAATCTATTAATAACAATGAATTTTTGTATTAGGATGTGAGGTGTATGAAATAAATCTGTGTGAAGATTTGTCATATGGTATATATCTCTTGAAGCAATAATTCGCTAGCTAGGATTGTGCTTTTTTAAGACTTAAACAACATGATAAAAGGAGATATCATGTGAGGATATAATTTAATAAGTACTTGTTATAGGAGTTTTTTCTAATGATATTAACAAAATTTTCAGCTTATTTATTTCTTCTTTTTTGAACCCAATAGGAGATTTTTTTTGGTGTTCTTTTATTCCAAGTGTCTCTATTCTTTTGATTTGAATGTTTGACCTTTATTTTTCCAAATCATATAGTGATTTTGCTCATTTATGTTTAAATATCATTTTGGGGCTACATGATCAAATTTATGGAAAATAAATTTAGGATTACATCTTTTTACATTGCAGTTGACGATAAGTGCATGATTCACAGGCATAGAATTGGGCTGGCTTTCAGGAATTTAGATTCTCCCTAATTATAATGTTAACTATATTTTGCTCAATATTTTATTTTCTTTCATTGGATTAACTAAATCAAGTGGAAAATTTTTTAATTGCATATCTTGATTGAAATTTGTTCATGGGTCTCCATAGGCTGCACTACCTACCTGCTTTCCTGATAAATATGTGAAGTTGTGATTGTTGATCTATTGAAAAATTTGATAATTCAGCTAGTTATGAATCTTTTGGTTAGATTTTTGCAATTTTTAAAATTTATAAATAGAGGGGAAATTGAGATGTGTAGAAGACAAATTTTCATATAATTTCTTATTTCTTGAAGTTTTAGTTTCCTCTTTTTTGCACTTGAGTGCCACTTGAATGTAGATTAAGCATCAACTACAAATATCCTAAAGAAATTATGCCCTTGTTTGAAAGTATGTTTTAGAATTTTGGATCGTCATCTGACGACTTTCTTTTCTCCTATTGTCCTTTTATATCTTTTTTTATCTGCCTGAATTTTCTATTTTCTCTTTGTGCTTGAATGCTAGTTGGATGTACTAGTATATTTAAAGTGTGGGCTACAAATTTTCATGGAAGTTATCTATTTAAATTGGCTTAAGACTTGAACTGTTATTCATTGACTTATTTTCTCGTTCCTTGGCCGCCGGTCTTCCCTCTTTTAACGAGTATGATAAAATAGATTACGGGCAATTACTTGATAATATCTTCAACATCTCAAGTCTTTTCTTTGCTTCTAACCTGAAAATCATTATTCACAATTCATTTCCCACATTACATTAATGTTTTCTCTTATTGTATATGGGGGATCATCATTTATATTTTGTTACTTACACTAAGGCCATCATTTATATTGGGTGGGGCTTGTGATTTCCTCACTTTTGGGTTTCCGTTTAAAAAGACTCATCTCTCTTGTGAGCTGATCTTTACTTACCAATAGGCATGTGGAATTCTTCCAATGGTATAAACATTCCAACAATAACAAGCTTAGATATACTTATCGAGCATTTGCATACATATGAAACAATTCTAATGTATTTACATATCCAACACCTAAACAATTATATTTACATGCATGCCAATGAAATCTTTAACCCCACATCAAAAATATCACAATCACTAATTTTTCAAAAGCAAAATACATGCTTTTACGCATAAGTTTATGACACTAAGACATTACAAGTGTAAATATCATAGGTTGAGTGTTAGAGATGTGAATATATGAGAATTACATGGTATGTAAGTAAATTTAACCATATTTATTTTACTCTAATGTTAATAAGTATGTGTTGAGAAATTAGGGCGAAAAAAAATAAGAATCGAAACAAATCCAGAAGAACACACAAAAATTAAACGATGTTCGACAAAGTGTCTACATCCTCGGGAACAGAGCGGCGACCTCCTTTTCAATATTCAGAAAAGAATACAGAATGCAAGATTTAGCTCTCTCACTAAAACCTAGGATTACAAACATGTTTATTTATAATCTTAGAGTAAATCTTACAGTACAATATGTAATTTTCAAATTACCCCTGTACCGTATAGCCCTAACCCACATAACGTAACTTCCCGATTTGAACGGATTCTTCCGCTCCGTTCCGCTTCATTCCAACGTTTGTCCCTATATGATATATGAGTCATACCATAACAGCATGTTTACGATTCCAACAACAACCAGCTTAAATGTATTCATTTTACTTGTAAATGTTGTTTTTCCCCAACGATTTTTCATTAGTTTTGAACTGTAAATGTATCACATAATAAATTAACAGTGGCTTTTTTCACACTTGCAATTTTGATTTTTGTTTTTAGACGGTCAGAAAATCAACCTGATTGAATGTCATTCGTCTTTTCTAGTTGGATTTCCCTGCATAAAAATAACAGCTTTTCCTTAACATCGAAGGGAATACATGACTTTTGCAAGGCACCTTAAGACTAAGTAAAGAGATTTTAATTATTTTTCTTTAGAGAAAATGAAATTATGTTGAATTTAATGTTTCACCCCACATTAATTTCTGTATTTATTTCTTCATTCCAGCTGTTACATCCAAAGCTGACATTGATTCAAATGTAAGACCTGTGCTCTGATATCCTGAATGACGCATTTATTGTAATTATGTTCTTTATCTAATCTAATGCAACACATTGGGACCTGGTTTGGTATGTTTATGCTGCTCCGTTATTTAGGCCCGGTTGAGACAGTTTATTTGATGCGGTGCGTTCTAAAATAAGCGTTTTCACGCCGTTTCTCGCTATAATTTTTTAGCTTTGATCTGACTTTTCCAAAAAAACAAAATTTTTATAACAGTCACCGCAGCTTTTTGAATGACTGGTTACTTTTCTTTAATTTATTAATAAGTTGTAGTCGTCCCAAATATATTCTTAATTAATTATATATATATATACATGATCTCGTAGCATCATGACTAATTCTGGTGTGTTCTACCAATTCATTTAGCTTTATCATACGTTATCGTGCTGTGTTATAATATCTGTCCCCAAAATTATTAATCATTAAAGGTGGCGTTAAAAAGCTTCTGGTTAAAGCGTGAAAGAATCATTTTCTTCTATTCGATTCACCTACTAGAAGTCTATCGGATCGTTGGAACCATTATTGACCCCCCTTAATCTCCCCATTAGACCATGCTTACCATTTAGTTTTTCTAATCAGTTCTCTAACTTAAAGTTTGAATTCATATTTTTGGCTTTGGAGTTTCTATCATTGTAAAACTCCAAGGTCAATTATTCCTTTTTGTAACCCTCAGTTAAGATTAGTGATTGGGAGCTTTGACTTTCAATGTGATAGTTGATCATTTTGTCAAACATATTGCGTTTGTTTAATGGAGAAATTGATTTCCTATCTATGGCCACAGAAGATGGAAGGACCAACTAATAAATTGCACATCTTTAACGTTTTTAAATAACTTTATATATTTTCACATCATTTATTACATTTTTCTGCAAAAATAAATTGATTGAGTGCTAAACTCATCATCAAAATTAATCACAAACAAACTTAGGTGGCCAAAACTATAAAGAAAAGAAAAAGTGAGGACATAAAAGCAGAGCCGCCTCCTCTCTCCACCCCCCTTCTTTTTTCTTCCTTTTTTTAACTCGTTCAAATCTCTCTCCCTCCATTACCACCACTCCACTTCTCTTATACGGTGCCTTGCTTCCTCTTCCTCGCCCCATATCCTCCCCTCCCCTCCCCTCCCCTCGCCGGCGATGGCGTCATCATCGTTAAAACTAGAGTGGGGTTTCCCCGAACACTACATGGAAAAACGCCAGCTTTTCCTTCGCAGCTATCAGTTCTCTCGAAAGCCGCCCGGGGGGGCGGCAGAGCGGCTCCGGAGCTCCACCGTGCGAGTCGGCCGACTCATCTGCTTCCGCCTCCGTGCTGCCCGCCGCCTTCCTCGTCTCCTTTGGGCACGGCTGCGCTCCGCCCTATGGGGCCCGCGC